CCCCCTACAAAAGAATGAGATATCCATCTTAAATTATTCTAACAATTTTCTCAAACTGGTGATGAGAGAAACTCATTTGCTGAAATATGAACTCACATGGTCCCCTTGTAATACTGGATTGGCACTTGAGCGAAGTAGGCGAATGATCTGATGAATCTTTTTTGAGGTGTTACACCAATACTTCATTAAAAGCATTGCAGAAGTTCTTGCTCAACATAAAACCATCTAGCCTTTTCCAAACTCAGTCTAGGTAAAGGTTGAGCCTATATATGTGTGGTGGATCCACCAAGTTATTATCTTTAATAAAGAAGAAAGAACAATCTTTAATGCTGGCAGTGCATAGAATACCTCTTCCTTTATAACCAGAAATCGAAGGAATGACATTAAAATATCCTCCCAGGAAGTCAGGAACCATTAACGGAAGTAAACCCAAAGTTCTTATTGGAAGGAATATGAATAAGAGTAACTACTAGGAACTGATCACCATCGATTATATTAATGGTGTTAAAGAATGAAGAATCCCAGAACAACCAGATTTTTGCTTTTATAAACATGAAAAGATCAGATAAAAGAACCTTGTGTGTATAGTCTTTTTTGTCTTTCTCTCCCGAGAAACCTTATGATATCTTCAGCCTGAATTGGACTTTCCTTTGTTCCTATTTTTGCTGAGATTGGCATAAGAATGCCCTTTCAGCCCCGCTTGGATAAAGCTCTGTTGTTTATTGAAGTATCTCCTTCTGACACATACCCAGGCTCTGATTCTATAATTTGGGCTGATGCTTCTCATAAAGCCCATCTCATCATTAGATGTGGGCTTAATAAGATTAGCAGCTAAAGAAACATTTGAGCAAGAAGATTAAGCAAGAAGAAACAGAAAACAAAAAAGTAACAAGGGGGATTAATTTCACTCGAAAGGAATCTAGTGGAATAAGTGAGTTACTGCTACTTGAGTCTGTGTCAATGCGAACCTGATTTGGCTCCACATTTTATTTTTGTTTGACAGTAGTGGTGTTTTCATTCTTTGAATCTTTAGACTATTCAGTTACTTTATTAATTTGTGAAAAGATTTTAGACCCAAAAAGCATTTCCTGCCCCCATATAATTACCTAAAGTTCTGTATGTTATATGTTTAGATTGACCATAATTACCGAAGTATGAAATTTTAATAGAAGAATATGTTATTATTGTTAGTTAATTTAGATGATATAAATCTATCTTTGAAAACATGGATGTTCGAAGATATTCATGTGCTTGATGTTAATGGGATAAGTATTTTATATGCATACTTTTGCTTCTATACATTTTTTCATACATTTTACCTAATGAAATACGCTACTATTTACGGAGTACATATTTTTTTTTTAATCTCGGTAGGCAAACCACCAAAATCAGTGGGGTAGATGCCGGGGAACATCTACCGGATATTATTAAATAAAGAAAGAAGTACAACGGAAAGGGGAACTAGACCAAAACCTTTTCAGGAGGCATTCCTCCCAAAAATACAGGAAAGATAATAAGGGAGAAAAAAACAGCAATTGGGGTAGACCTGACCCAATTGAAAAATAAAGTAAAAAGCAAATGACATGATATTTACGGAGTACATAATAATACAGTTTTTGAAAGGCGGATTTTTACACATTATTAAAATGACATGATATTTTAGCCTTAAAATGTACAAAAATGCTTGATGTACACATTTTGGTGTACATATTTCATACACCTGTCTGTCTCACGCACACAGAGATGTCTGTCCACAGACAACTTTGTATAATTGTTTGTAGACAAACAACTTTATCTTTTAATTAATATATTGTAAATGAAGTTGGAACAATAGCTTTAGAGCTCCAAATTATCTTTCCAACGAGATATAATATGCTCAAAAAGGAAGAACACAATAGTTATAGAACTCCAGCTTATCTTTCCAACGAGATATAATACGCTCAAAACGGAAGAACACACAACAAGATATGTGTCAATCATCCCTGGATATTTTGAAAACAGCGCCCGAAGACAAGTTTTAGAACTCGGTAAAATCTTTCCAACAAGATATTAAACGCTTTCAACGGAATCAAATAGAACAAGAGAGACAGACGAGTGTACAAAAGACGTACACCTAACATAACGTTACCCGTACCCCGTTTTATTAAAACAATGGCCAAAATTGATTTTGATTTGATACAATAGCATAGAGAAATGTGGTGGGTTCATTAAAAGTACAAATTCAAAAATAAAATTTCATAAAAAACATCACTAATGTTTTTTATCTTGTAATTAGTCTTTTGGGAGTTTTTGTCCTATTGGGTTTACTTCTTATTGAATAAAGTCATGAACCTCATACCACTAATTGGTGGACTACTAGGCAGAATGCAATAATTTTAACGAAAGTCGTCTTCTTGAAAGATGGACGAACTAGGGAGAAGCAAGAAAGAAAAATGAAAAGCAAAAGAAAAGAAAAAAATATATGCAATGTGTCGTCACGTATGCTCACGTGATGCCATGTGTCGTCAAAAATTTACCGGGTAATCGATTAAAACCCGTTAAAAATTGATTTGAACGTTTTCTCAAAGTTTGGATGCTGGATTGAGTGTTTTTGAATTCAGAGGCTTAATTGATATTTTGAATATAATAATACGGAGGCTTATTTGAACCTTTTGCTTAGTTATTTTTATCTTTGGTTTTTGGTGGTTTTCAGTTGTGTACATATCTTTGGATAATTTTTATATTACTCCTCATAAAATCTTTTCCAATTTGACTTGGGTTTGAGTTTTAGAAAGTGAAAATTTGAGTTTAAGAAAATGAGAATAAAATGAGAATATATAGTTGTGATTGGATGAGAAAATATTAAATGAATATTAACTATACAAAACTTTTCAAAAAGTGAAATAACAAGAATTTTTTGGGATATCACGAAAAAATAAGTGGGGATAATTTTATGGGATGGAGAGAATATAAATAACTATTCTACTCCCTCCATTCCTAAATAAACTCCCAAAATTCCTTTTCATCCGTCCCATTCAAACTCACTTTCCATTTTTGATAAAGAATTGATACTTCATAGTATTTCTTGCACATTTGTTTCTGGTATGCACAACTCTACCTCAAATAATATTCAGTATCTTCATGCTTATGTAATTTGTACTATGGAAGTGTTATTAGAAATGGGGGAGCAATGATTAATTGCTTAAATGGAATCTCGTCCCTTCCCATTTGTTATTTAAGTCCGAGAATCTAGTCAATAAGTGGCGATTGTGTTTTAGGAAAGGTATCCCAAGTCCAGGCCAGAACAAAAGCAATGCAAACAGGTAGCAAATGCCGTGCATTAGATAGGTGAACTGTAAACTACAGGGCCCTCAATAATTAAAATCTCTTATGAAGTGTTCCCTGGTCCTTAGATCCAATTCTTGTCTTCATCTCATTAGTACATATCTTCACATCCAAGTACTGTAGCCAATAACATCAGAACAAAAAAAAAAGAAATACTTCTCACCCCTAAATAAAGTCCACTTTTTTACTTCACACAATATAAGGAAATAAATTTGACTTTACTGTAGAATACACTTTTGTGGCATTGTTTGGCACTGTTGTGACACTATTTGGCATTGTTTGACACTGTTTTGCACTGTTTTGATGTAGAGGTAATTTGCCAAATAAGGAAGGTGAACGAAGTGTGAACTTTATTTTGGACCGACTCAAAAAGGAAAATGTGAACTTTATTTATGACCGGATGGAGTACTCAATAGTATCTGTTCCTATTGGGAAAAAATAGATGCGTACTATAGCATTAAAATAGATGCATGGGAAAAAATCATGTAGATTACACAGTTAATGCTCGACTTTTGCTTTTGACAAACCCACACACCTACAAATCTACAATCCTGTAGAGGTCATGGTCAGTCTATAACTTCTACAATTGTGAAAAATAGAAGTCACGCCAAATGTTCTAAAATTTGTTCTCAAGTACACAGAAATGGAATCATTGTAAATTCTAAAATAAAAGTACTACGTATAATATTTTTTCTTGAAGAGAAATAATGATTTTCAGGTTGACATTAATATTGTAATATTAATATCAAAATAAAAAAATATGATAGTGTAATTTCAAGTGCAAAATTTACTTCTTTGTATTGAGGAAAATATAAGAAATAATTACATACTTATGACAGAAATGAAGACTACTCACCAAAATGTGATGAATGATTACAGTAGTAATGAAATAATAATAACTTATCTTCAATTTTTAGAATTAAGTTAATATGACAATACATTGTAGTAACTGATGATCATATTTGTATAAATAAGTTTTAGTTTAGTACTCCCAAAATATAACACTCTTATTTTCAAAATTCACATTGTTTCTACTCATATTTCTGGACATTTCACTTTATTTTTAGTATCTTTTTCTCTTGTTCGGGGGTGTTTAGAATTGATTCTGCTTCTGCTTCTTTTTTAAAGCAGACGTAGAATCAGAATCAGTTTTCAGAAGCTGGTCTCCCACAGTTTATAAAAAACTGCTTCTAGGAGTACATCAGAGCACAAGAAATAATTTTTCACTTTCACCCAAATCCTCCAACTTCTGCTGCGACTCTCTGAATGAGCAAAAATAGTTTTAAGAATCAAACTCAAAGGAAATAAATTATTTTCATAATAAGTGTGCAATTCAGAATCAAATCTTTCGATAGTATTCGTGTGGTTCTACTGTATTGTTTCTTTACTTGTAGTTTTTCACTTCATCAATTCAATACAAATCATGATAATTTACTTTCCTAAGAAAATATACCACTCTTAATTTCCGACTCTCTTTATTTCTTAAAACTTTGATATCTTTCCTTTTTGTTGTACCACTAACTTTGTCACTTTCAATTCTAAATAAAGAATTTTTAATTTCAATTAATTATGTATTTCTTCATAAACCTCAACTACATCATTTTTAGTTTGATTTTCGTGTCAGTCAAAGTTGACCGAGTCTTAATGGAGGTATAGTATTGAATCTTTTTTTTTATCGTGTATAGTATTGAATCTTAAAAAATCAGAAATAATCGCCAGAAACCTTGAAATACAAGTATCGATTATGCAACTCTGATTTATGAACTCTATGAATAATGTGTAGGTATGATTAAGCGATTCATTGAATTATTTGAATATCCTATCTATCTCTTCTTCCTTTTAGACTTACCATTACAAAACAAGGATCCCAAACCAAAAAATGTATGTTTTGTGTTGTAAGTAGGTGAGATGTTCAAAACAGGGATGACTCTAACTCCATAACCAGAAGATCTGAAGCTACAGCTCTTCTTCAATGGGCTGTTCATGGTCTTCTTTGATGGCATCAAATGGTTATGTCTATGAGTGTTGAATAGTACTGAAGAAACTGAACGCGATAGGAACGGCTCCGGTCTGGATCTCTGCTTCCGGGCGGCCTCTGCCTGCGGCGGCGGAGCAGAGAGCTTGCCGTTTGGGGCGGAACCGGTGGAATTGCTTCTAGATAGGAACTGCAGCGACCGGACTAGGCTGTTCCCTCGGCGGGTATCGCAGTTCAGACTGCTGCTCCGCCCGAATTGCCAAAAGTGCTTCGCCGGCGACGCGAGAGTTCCCGGCTCCAGCTCCGGCTCAGGATTTGCAGACAAGAACTCCTTCAACATCTTCTTGTTGTCATCGGTATTTGCGATCTTGGGCTGCCGGGATTTGGAATCTGCGAAGGGCGCGGCGGGTTTCTTGATTTGAACGGGAAGGATCTTGCCGTCGGCGAAGAGCTCGTCCGCCGGGGAGATTTCTGGGATGAAACTGGTGCAGAAATCGAAGTCGATGGTGGGTTCGAAGAGGAGAGGATCGGGGAGACAGCGGAGGTGGAATTCAGAGGGTACGGTGTCAGATTGCCGGAGATCATGGGAGAATGAAATTCTTGGACTGGAAGAGGCATCATCAGAGCATACATCCACTGCCATGGCTGCAAGAAAACAGAGAAATGTTGGCAGAAATGAAGTGTATGATATAGTGGGGGTGGGGAGTGAATGAGGGAAATTATGTCAAAGAATGTCAGCTTTTGCTTTTTATGCTAAGGTAATTAATTTATTTATAATAATATAATAATACGTCTAAAGGAAAATATACACATAGTCGTTTGACTATTGCTACTTTTTTATCTTTATCATTTAGTGCGTTTTTTAGTAAACAAGAGTAAAAAAAAAGAATCAAATAAGTGTAATTGTCATTGTCGAAGTTAAGTATCATTATTTTGAATAAAATGTCATTTAAATAATCAAATATTTAATCATTTGGTATACCACCTCATCACTATTTAATTGGTTTACAATTTTATTAATTGAACTCAAATTCTGGCGATAAATCTGACTTGGTAACTCCTGTGTTTGGACCAGTCTAATATGAAGCTTGTCTGGTCTATGACAAAATAAAGTAAACCAATTGAAAACATTTTTATTATTTATATTTATGCTAAGCTTAATTTAATTGTGTTTGAAATAGTTATCTCTAATATACTCAATTTAAAAAAAAATCAATAGACTTGAGATATTGAATTACAAACAACATATTTCATTGAAGAAATATGGAATAAAAATAATTAATTTATCAACCAAAAAATAATTAAAGTTATACTTAAGTACTACTAAAACGAATTGTTTAATATTTAGTTTACGAATCAACATGTAAAACAACATTTTAAAGTATGAGGTGATTCTAAAAATTGAAAGTACCAAAGTTAATAATACTATGTACGTAGTATAATTTAAGAGCTGGTTTGGTTATCCTTTTCTTCGGCTAATTAGGTTTATCAACCAATTTTTCTCTAAAAATATAACTTAGTGTAGATTATTTTAGCTATTTTTCATATAATTTTTCTTAATTTTATTAATACAATATATTTTAAATACTCCGTCTAATTTTTTTCATAAATCAATAGAATCAGCCAATTTAGATTGAAGTCCATAAATTTCAGCCAATTTAGAATCAACCATTCAGCCAGACTTGATATTACTAAACGGGCTCTAAAAGATACCCTCAACTATTTTTGGCGTCAAAATTTCATATAATGAAAAAACGACAATCCCTAGCTAAATGGCTTAATGTAATTTATTAAAAAAAACTAAATCGCGAAATGTACGTATTCTTTATAATTTAATCCAAGTGTTAGTTCTAACAATATAAATATATTTTCTTCTTTTAACATTTTTAGTATCTAAAAACAAAATGGAAAAGGTAACACTATTAATGATTGCTTAAATTTCAAATTAGAACAATATTTTTAAAAATCAAATTAGAAATATGAATGATTGGTTAAATTTCACAACAACAAGAAGAAAAAAATAATAACAAGAACAAGAATAACAAGATTTTAAATGAAGGTAACATTAATTATTATTATTATTATTATTATTATTATTATTATTATTATTATATTGTTTTAAACATAAATTAACATAATATTATTACTCTAGTAACACTATTAATGACGTTTGTTCGGAAGTACTCCCTCCGTCCCGAAATAAATGTCCTGCTTTCCCAAAACGGATGTCCCAAAATAATTGTCCTACATTGAAAGTTTCCTTATTTGGTAAACAAATCTATATAAAATAGTGTCAAACAGTACCAAACAGTGTCAAACAGTGTTGGTACAGTGCCAAATAATGTCGCTACAGTGTGAAGTCAACTTCATTTTCTTAATCTGTGTGAAGGTCAAAGTAGGACAATTATTTAGGGACGGAGAGACTAACTAAATAAGTACAACCGGACATCGCTTTTATGCTGTTATTAATCCACTTACATATTTGGCTCAGTCGTTAATTATGTCGATTACCTTTTTGTGTAGCTAGATCATCAAATGGATAGGATTGAAATTTGTCCTTGTAATAAAAGGTCAAAAATCACATCAATCCCAACGGATAATCCATAGACAAATTGTAATACGAGACCAAATTAAAGTAAACTTTGCTGATCCATGATTAAGATTTATCTTCTTCTATTATACGCATTTTTTTTTGCTTCTATTATACGCATTATATATACACACTCTATTACTCGATCTATCGGGTCCACTTAGGGGGCGTTTGATAAGATAAAATAATCACTTTGCATGAGAAATTTAAGGACGTAAAATGTTTACATTGTTTGATTTGATTATTTAATATAAATTGTAGGTCACTTTTTAAAGTATTTTATGTGGGGGAGGGTGGTAAAATACATTGCATGCTTTTTATAAAGCACTGCAGCGTCTTTGCGTGTAAATTAAAATTAAATTAAATATCTAACCAAATAAGATAATAGAATCTATTTTAGAAGCAAACGGATTGCTTCCCTCATACAATCATTTCGCTTGTAAAGATTTAACGTGTAAACTAACTAACGAGCCACACTCGTCTTTAGTGTGGCGTGGAACAATATCTATGGAGTTTAAGGAGAGGAACATACAGAATATACTTGGAAAGTTAGTAATGGTGGGCTGGTGGCTCTAGTAAGATGGAGTAACTGGAGATAAACACCACGGTTGAACGTAACATTATAATAAAAATATATCGCACACATATTTACATTTTACAATTGTTCATAAATAAAAAAATGTCATTTTATCCTTAAGGTCTTTTGGAGAGTGTAAATTTAATTTTGGTCACACATTTGATGAAAAGAGAGTGAGAAGAGAGTAGAGTTTCATCATTTCTAATTACATCTAGAACTTCTCACGTGTGACACTCTCTTCTTACTAGTTAATTGTGCTCTGGTGTCATGTTGATAAATATGTCACTTCAATCAATGACTTGAGATGCGACCTCATTTTCTTTTTATTAGAGTGGAATCAAAGCTCAACTTACATCCTTTCAGATAATTGTCCGGTCAATTGTAGGGAGCCTTCAGAGATGAATTGTCATCCTTTTATTCTCATAAATATGTCATGTAGACACTTGTTATAATGCTTGGTGTACACATTATGGTGTACACATTTCGTACACTCGTCTGTCTCACGCACACAGAATTTTTTGTCCACAGATAACTCTACCGTTAAGAAAGCATCACACAAAAATAAGATGGAAATGGACGGTTGATCTTTGCATGCCAAGCTAGGCGTAAGCCTATGGGCTGTGAGAGACAAGCCTAGTTTCATTATTGTGTCATGGTATTCGGTAAACAAAACAACATTTTGAACTATGAAAGAGATGGCATTTGTGACATTACTGAGTGACTTTTGCTTTTTTTGAAGGGTCATGCTTGGTGTACACAAGATGTACACAAAATGTGTACATTGTCTGTGTACACAAACAATTGGGTATCAAATTCTGTCCTTTTTTAATTGAATTACCTGTATACACAGGCAACTAGGGGATTTTGTGTACAGTTTGTGTACAACTCATGTACACAAAACATTTTCCTTTTTTGAACTTGTATTGCAAAATAAGCTAATATTCCGTAATGTACAATTCATTTGTTGTAGCCAAACATGAATTTGTCTGATCCATTATGCATGTGGTGACGGCATGGCCTTTTTTGGTATTCAGTTCTGCTTCTCCGGTTAGAGGAGAATGAAATACTCCATCCCTCTCCATATGACCATATGTAACTCTTCCAATATTTTGTACTCCGTAAGATAACAATATTCTTTTTGAAATATTTAAAAATAAATAAACACTTTTCTAAATTAACGTTCTGCTTTATCACTTTATCTCTATTAATTCACAGTTTACTTTTTCTAGCACTACTAGAAAACTGGCTTATAGTGACACCTTTTTAGTGACACTATTTCTAATTTGTGTCACAGATATATGACATATAGCTTTTACGACACAGAAGTGTCATTAGTTTATGACACCATAATGTCAAAATCATATAGTGACGTTTACATTGATTTTTATAGCTTAATCAGCTAAAAGAATAAGTAAAAACCATATTATCCCTTTAAAACCTAGGATTCTACTACGTATTTCTTTCTCTAAAGGAAAACTTCAATTTTCGTTCTTCCAAACCAGATCTGCCTCCAATCTCCCGCATCTTTCCGTATCTGCGCTGCCACTCTATAAGAAAGCAAATATTGAGCGCCTCCAAGTTCTTTTAATTTCCATCGGATAACCTAATTGCGAACGAAGCTGAACGACCAACCATGCCTCCACTCAGCCTCCGTTGATGTCTCTGATTCGCCTCCACCCACAGCAGCCGCTTCTGTTCCTCTAAATCTGCAGAAGGCGCTAACGTAGGCCCCCAAGACAATGGCCGACCGTCCGACAGCTCCGCCAATGAAATACTGCATCTAGCTCCAATAGCCTTGGCTCCTTCGCCTTCAGCCTAACCATCACTTAATCATGGTTAGAGAAGTTCACTTTATTGCTTAGTTAATAATTTTCAGTATTTGTTGGATTTTTTTATATTTTTCAGAGGGTCCAAAACCATATATTTTGGGCTGTTTAAAGATGCTAATTATTCCTCAGAACACATCTTTCTACTCTTGAATTGATGGTAAACGAATCATTTGTTATTTATAATATTTAACCTAAAAGTGCCTAGATGGAGAACGGTCTATTGGTTTGTTTGATGCTTGTTTTGTAGCATTAGGGTGACATTTCAATGTATGGAACTACTTGACTACCCGGGAAGGAATGTGAAGACGGGACTACCCTTATTCAGTGGTCTCCCGTGGATACTTTCAAAGAGAACATTAAGCCTTGATTTCATCATCAACCTTAATGATTCATTTGGTGATTTTCTCGGTCGGGTACTTCTCTTATCACATATGCTCGATTATGAAATCCCTTTGTTTGTAAGTGTCGTGTTTTGCACACATAAGAAAACACTCCTTATATCAAGTTAAAACTTAAAACTGGTATAATATGACTAGAATAACCTTATTAGTGCTTTAAACTTTTCGGTAACAGTTATACATATCGAAGGTTAATAGTGAAAAATGATAAGTTGGTGCTTTCTTGATGTGTTAAAGCCACAATTATTTACAACTTATTTTTTCATTTTATTTTAAATGATGGCTAAAAGTGAATGGAGGGAGCACTTCTTTTCATGTTTCATAGTTTTATTTGACTAT